AAGTTCAACACTGCCAACTTCCTTCCGCTTTTACAAACTTTGCTGCAACCAAAACTTACTGCAACTAGAAACTTGCCTTTTAAATTCTGTTCACCCCTGTGAATGCGTCACTGCTCTAAAAGCAGTCCTGTAAATTGCAACTCCTCCCACAACCTGGAAGTCTTTGTAAATTTCTCCAACTGGCCATTGAGGTGCCTCAAATGGGAACCAGGTACCAATCTATATTTATCATATGCAGGGCTCTTTTTGTAGAAAAACCCCAGCAGGAACTCATTAGCATAATAGACCACACCCAACAGCAGAAACTCATTAGCATACTGGGCCACACCCCAACAGCACAGCTCACTAGCACATTAGGCCGCACCCTCATGTTACCAGAAGTGTGGTCATCCAGCCACACCCACCTTTTGCTTCTTATTCTGTTTACCTTGTTTGTTCTGAAAACTCAGGGCTTTTTTTGTAGCAGAAACTCCTTTGCATGTTAGGCCACACACCCCTAATGTAGCCAATCCTAATGAGTTTCTGCTGCTGGGTGTGGCCTATTATGCTAATGAGTTCCTGCTGGGCGTGGCCAACTTGGGAGCCAGCCGGAACTCCATTCCTGTGTGTTCCTGCCCTAAAATAGCCCTGAATATGATACTTATTCAGATGTGAGCGAAAATGGCAGGATAGTGACTATGAGCCCTGCTGGATCACAACAGTGGTCCATCTAGTACAGCCTCCGGTTTCACACAGAGGCCCACCTCTTGCCCTGGATGTTGCCTTCAACATGCTGTCTCCAACATGTTATGATGTTGTCTCTAAGCTCTGGTATCCACAGCTTTACTGCCCCTGAATATGGAGGTTCCCTCTATTCACCATGGCTAGTAACAATTGATGGCCTTCTCATCTATAAATCTGCCTAACCCACTTTTAAAGCCATTTATGCTCCATATCTCTCCTTCCTCTGGCAGTGAATATCACAATCGCCAACTCCTTTTCTTCACTTTACAGTGGAGAATTTATCACCCATCAGCTTCGCTGAAAGCCTCTGAATTCAAGTAATATGGGACAGAAGACAAAAGTATCCTAAAGGATACATGTTAGAAGTTTATAGCAATATACATGGAGTGGGGAAAATGGGTAGAAACCCACATTTCCCACTCCATGTATATTGCTATAAACTTCTAACATGTATCCTTTCCATTTTCTTTTCAATCCCTTTCTAATCACCCCAGCACACCTTTTGCCTTCTTCACTGCTGCAATAACCGAAATCAACATTTTCATCCAGCTATCTGCTACAATGCCTGGATCCTCCCCCCCCCTTCTACTTTGTCCAGTTCAGACCCCCCATCTGCATATATTTAAAGTTAGGATTTTTGTTTCACACCTTACACTCGCTCTGAACTTCATCTGCCAAGTGATCGTCCATTCTGATTTACAGAGATCCCCCAGAGCTCATCACAATCTGCTTTCTTTTCACCATCCTGAAAAATCTGTTATCATTTTCAAACCTGGCCACTATGCTATACATCCCTAATCCCACATCATTTACGAACAAATTAAACAGCACTGATCCCAAATACTGATCACTGTGGGATCCCACTTCCCTCCATGCCGAGATCAGTCAGTTTATGCCTACTGTCCATTTCCTGTCACTTAACCAATTTTTCAATCAACATCCATCTACTTATCTCATAACTGCCAAGCTTACTCAGTAGTCTCTGATAAGGTAGCTTGCCTAACGTCTTTTGGAAATCCAAGTCACCCTTATCCATATTGCTAGTTAACCTTCTCTGAAAACTCCAAGAGGTTCATGAAGCAAGACTTCCCTTTGCAAAAGCCATGCTGATTTTCTATTTACCTAGAAGAGGTACATGCTAGGTGGCATGTCATTTCCACATCAACACCCACCCATTTAAGGATGAAAATCACACGATGTCACGTCTGCAACCAAGAACCAAATAGGTTAAAAAAAACACAAAAACATCCAAACATTCCTTGTGCATTGCAGAGATGACAGCTCCCTGTGTAGAAGCGGAAGGGAACAGTCTAACAGAATTAAATCAAGCAGATCAGTTTGCACTGCCTCACTCACGGAAGCCTGTACTGGGTGGAGTTTTGTCTTTCAGTCCAACAAGAAAGTGACCTAAAAAAGCACACTTATAAGCCTTAGTCACATGAGACAGGAGCATTACTAAAGCAAGTACGTGACATTTCCTGAATGAAGGCGGAACTTAGCTTCCCAAGCAGGCCGGCCAAGACCATGTCATATATAAAATTAAAGACCTTCACATTTCAGGCTGCCAGACGTGTTAAGAGGGTCAACCAAGCTTTCAAGATACCAACACTATATTGATCTAAACAGCCCCATAATACCACAACACAATTTCCTTCTCTTCCTTTATACTACCTAAATGTTATTTCTTTTTTGGGGGGGGGGGGGGGAGAGAGACACTACAGTGCAAGCAACAATAAGAAACTTCAACAAAGCCTCTGAAGTTTTTCCAAGACTGCATTCTAACTGCCAGGCCTTACTTATTGTGCCACTAGAACAGCTCAAAACTGGAAGCAAACTTTCTCTTGGTACTATCCACAGGCAGGATTTTCGAGGGATTAGCACGCACTTACTTTCTAACCACACTTCTCTCCACCCAGTACCTATGACCTAGTGACAGAGCACATGCTTTTGATGCCTAAGAGTCCAAGTTCAATCCCTGGCATCTCCACCTAAAGGGGTATCAGATTGCAAGCACTGGGGAAAGAGCTTCCTCTGCCCGAGACCCTGGAGAGCTGCTGCCACTCACAGCAGATAGTACTGAGCAAGATGAACCAATGATCTGTCTCAGGATGGCAGGGTCATAGGTCCAAGCAGCTGTCACCTATTACTCCTTAACTGTAATCACAACGATACACTCAAGAGAGCAAACTGCACAAAAGCATGGCCAAGTGTACTCCGTGGATAATCAAAGCCAGATTTGAACACAAGGACAAATAATGCAAGATCCCATGTATGTACTCGGCAGTGACAGCTACCATGCATAATTCCAAGAAGCGAGTTGAAATCATTCTGCCAAGACAGGAAAAGTTTACTTCACGCAAGCACCTTCTGGCATGGAAAGATAGACATATACTCATGTTTTACAATGCAGCAAACATGCTTGTTAAGTACTTTAAATGGCTGGATGGTATTATATAAATGCAAGGGCTATTATTAGTATCTGAAGCAAGCACTACAGCTAATTAGAATTTCCATTTTTCCCATTTAAAAAAAAACCAGTTTAAGGGTGCATTATTTTTTCCTGAGGAGGGAGTTGGAATGAATAAAACAGTAGTTTTATTTATCTGGCCTGTAACTCACCCTGCCCCAAAGGCTTGAGGAGGGCAGCAAGCTCATATTCTTCCCAACCAATGGCTAGAAAGACCTCTGCCGAATAAAAACATACTGTTTTTCTAAGATGTTGATGAGTCCCCAGGGAAGAAAGTAAGAATCTTAAAAAACAGCATTGAGAGCAAGTCAATTCACATTAAAGAATCTCAACACAAGCATGTCATGCAGATGAACGGCATTGGAAAAATGCTGCACATTTGCTGCTTGAGCTGCAACAATCTAATTGACTGCCCTCCTGGCTCTGTGTCTTCAAAGAGTAGTTTCACACAGTACATAATGCCAAAGGCAGGTCCTCCACCAACGACACGCACTGTGGGTATTGTGACCTTTTGCCAGTATCCTAACAGCAAACCCAGAGGATATCTGTCTCTTGTTTGCATTCAGGCTTACTTACAAATCTTATACCCCATCTTTCTGCCCTTTTCAGGACCACCAAGTCACATCTAGAGAACTGCAGGTTGAGGGGGGACATGATCACTTTCTTTAAGTACTTGAAATGCTGTCACTGAGTGGAGGGCAGGGAGCGGTTCCTGTGGGCAGCAGAGGAGAGAATTCGCAATAACGGGTTTAAATTGCAGGCAGAAAGACGCCAACTGGACATTAGGAAAAAAATTTACTTGGGAGTATCACCCATAATTCTGAGAAGCAAGTTGAAATAGAATAGTTCAGCAGAGGAATCTGCTGCCTAGGGAGGCACTGAGCTCCCCCTCACTAGCAGGCTTCAAACAGCGGCAGGACAAACACTTGGTAGGGATGCTTTAGCTGGTCCTGCATGGGAAGTGGGTTAAACTAGATTCTAGGATCTTAAAATAACAAAAATAGACAATCATGTCAATCACTCAACAGGCACCAAAAGCCATTACATCAAGGGCTGCCACCTGTTTAAGTTAATCTTTATTGATTAGCCATACTAGTTCAGTAAGAAGGTACTTCTTTTGGAAAAAGGCAAATTTTGATTTTGGGTGATGCAGACATAAATCACGGCAGCCAAGCACCAGATCCATAAAGGGACATAAGACCGGGACACAGACAACCACTTTCAAATATGCAAGCTGTAATCAGGTCAACTATATTTCATCTGATTAATCAGGTTAAAAACACAGCACCAGATTAATGAAGCAGATTTTTGTTTAGACTTTAAAAGTATATTAACTACTCTATTAACACAAGGCTTCATTAAAAAAGGGATGCCCTTTTTACAAAATTGCTGCATGTTTTCAACCACCTCCCATAGGATTTTAATGAATGAGTCCAGTCACCGCCACACTGCGGCTCTAATTACAACTAGCACGTGTGAACGGGCAAACACACCCGCCACAGGTTGGAAAAAAACCATCCATTATTATCCCAGAGATCAACATCCAAGCAACGCTTGTTCCAAGGGGGCCCAGATCACACGTTCAGCTACCACTACAATAATCACGGGTACGTGTGGAGAGGAAAAACGAAATGACGAACACGAGCGTGTGAACCAGGCCACACTACACACGCTGGAATGCACGCGCAACACATCTCCTTCGACACGCGCCTGGGGGAAGGGGGAAAGCCACGCAACGTGCGAAGCAGCACAAAGAGCCCGAGTCCCACCCCCCTGCCCAGCCGAGGAGCGGAGAGGTCCAGACGCTCACCGGGCGAGTAGAGCTCGGCCAGCTCCCGGGCTCCGGCATGCTGAGCTCCCCAGCGGGGACAGGCGTCCTCACGCGCTTCTTGGGCAGCTGACGCAGCGGCCTCCGCCTCGGACGACGCCCCGTCCGGCTCGAGGTTGGTCCCCGCCGGCACGCGTTGGGTGCATCCGGCCATGGCCCCCGCGCGGCCTCGTTCCGCCGCCTCTTCGTCCTGCTGCTGCTCGCGAAGGCCGGCCGCGTCTTCAAGCTCCGGCCCCGCTGCTCGTGCTCCGGGACCGGCAGAGCCGCCCGGCGCCAGCGCCTGAGCCAGCGACGAGGGCGGCGGCGGGAGCAGCATCGCGAGGAAACCCGCCCAAGGGCTGGCTGACGGGCGGGCTGGAGGAGCTCGCGCAACGCGCCGCCACCACCGCTTCTTCTGCTGCTCGCGGAGCCGAAAGAGAGAACAGTCGTCAGGCCGCGCCACCCCCAGGCACCCTCCCCCCTGGCAGGAGGAGGGACCGCCCAATCAGCGTGGCCCGCGCGCAGACTCGCCGGCCTATGGCGGAGGGGGAACGTTCTGCCCCGACCAATGGCGGTGCAGCATGTGGGACGAACATCTGGCCCGGCGGCTCTCGGGTAGCCGCCCACATTTTCCTCCCAGAGAGGTTGAAGGGAAAACGCCTCAATGGTTTGAGAGGGGAAAGGAGGAACTTGCGTGCACGTTTCAAAACTAGAAGTTATATATGTGTGTGTGTATATATATACACACACACACACAACTTCTAGCAGACACCTGTGAGGTAGGTGGGGCTGAGAGAGTTCTCTCAAGGACTGCTCTTGAGAGAGCAGCTCTGAAAGAACTTATGATTGACCCAAGGTCACCCCAGCAGCTGCATATGGAAGAGTGGGGAATCAAACCGGGTTCTCCCAGATTAGTGTCCGGGCTCTAAACCACTACACCAAACTGGCTCTAGGAGTTAACACAACCCAAGTCTGTTTGCTTTCCTGACTCAACCAAGGCTTCCCACTCTGGAATGCACCATTACCCAATTTAAATGGTGCATTCCAGAGTGGGAGGCCTTGTTTGAGTATATATCACCCACCAAACTCACACAAACAGGCGATGTGATGCAAACGGGACCTTTTTTAAATTGGGTAATGGTGCATTCCAGAGTGGGAGGCCACTGTGATATTTTTTGTTTATGTATGCATGTTGTGTATATGTGCCAAAGCTAACTGAGATTGATACCATCTGACAGCTCTGGCCCACAAAAAAAACTATGCCACTAAGAATGTAAATTTTTTTCAGGGTTGGACTATAGCAGGAAGAAGAAGAGGAGACTGGATTTATACCCTGCCCTTCACTCAGAGTCTCAGAGCAGTTTACAATCTCCTTTCCCTTCCTCTCCCCACAACAGACACCTTGTGAGTTAGGTGGGGTTGAGAGGGCTCTGAGAGAACTGTGACTGACTCAAGGTCACCAGCTTGCTGTATGTGGAGGAGTGGGGAATCAAAACCAGATTAGAGAGTCCCCTACATGGTGCCTATGGGTGTCAAGGTGCCTACCACATGTTTTTAGGCAATGGGCGGGGCAAGGTAGGGTTTTTGCCCAGCAAGGCTTCTGATTGAATACTGGAGATCTGATTGGCTATGCAGATTTTTTTAAAAAATTTGGTCTGGTGGCAGCTGCCACCACAGCACAAGAATCTACCCTGCATTACTGAAGTTGAGCTGTGGCAATCGTTTTGTGGCTGGCTCCGCCTCCTGTGGCAGCCATTATATTCCTGCACACACAATGCTGTGTCAAAATTCCAAATGTGCCTGCAGGCTCAAAAAGGTAGGGTACCCTGGACTATAACATCAAAGCAGCCCTTAATAATTCTGCAGTTGCACATTCTACATCACAAAATCTTTTAAAAATTATCTGACTATTGTTGCCAACCAAATTGACATCACCACTTACATAGAAGCCAAGAAGAGACAAAAATACTTCTTTTGCTGAGGCCGTAGATTCTAGCAAGTAAATCCCAGTGAATTCAGTGGGGCTTAATTTAAATAAACTGGGTGGGAGCAGGCTGCAGATTTCACAATCCTGTATGTACTTATTTGGGAGTAAGGCCGTTAAACTCAACAGGAGTCTTTCTTAGTAAACATCAGGGGTTCTTAATGAAGTTGATGGGCAATAGATACAGTACACACAAAAGGAAATGTTGAACCCAATGAGTAATTAAATTGTGTAATTCACTGTCTGTGGCTATGAGCTCCAGTGGTTTTAAAAAGCCACTGTCTGAAACAAACTGCTGGACTATATGAACCACTGCTTCGATCCAGCAGCACTCTTCTTATGTTCTTGTGTGTAGGGTTGTGCTACATGGGTTATAAACCTTTCCAGGTATCCCACGAATTCTGCATCAATGTATTCATGCTGCATGCATAGCACTGAACGTTTGCCTCAACTGATGCTGCTCTATGAAGAATTTGGGGTTTGCAATATAGATCATAGATTCACAGAGTTGAAAGGGGCCATGCAGGGCATCTAGTCCAACCCCCTGCTCAATGCAGGATCAGCCTAGAGCATCCCTGACAAGTGTTCGTCCAGCCGCTGCTTAAAGATTGCCAGTGAGGGGGAGCTTACTGATTCCACTGCTGAACAATTATTACTGTAAAAAAGATTTTCCTAATAGCCAGCCAGTACCTTCCTACCCTTAATCTAAACCCATTATTGAGAGTCCTCTCCTCTGCTGCCAACAGAAACAGCCCCCTGCTCTCCTCTAAGTAGCAGCTCTTCAAATACTTAAAGAGAGCAATCATGTTCCCCCTCAATATATTTTAAAAGTAGTTAGCGAAATTTATTGCTTTACCTATTTTCTCCAGCTTTCTGTTTGAATATTAGGATATCATCTCTTTGAGGAACAACTGTGTTATGATAGTAGTCTATATTGAGTACCTGTCAGGGAACCTTAGTTGTTACACCAGCAAAGATTGCGTAGCCATATTTGAATTGAATTCACTCCCAGGTAAATGTGCATAGGTGTAGCAGTCTGGGAGAGATACTAGCAATTATAGCCAAATGAAATCTCCATATGCACAAGGACTACGTTTCTAAATACCAGGTGCTTGGGGACAAACAACTAGGAAGAAAGAATTGTAACTTTCATGTTTTGTTTGTGGGTTTACTGAAGGGATCTTGCTGACCCCTGTTTGGATGCTGGGCTACTGGTCTGACCTAGCAGACTTTTTCTTATTCTTAGGGAATATTTGGATATAACACTTTAGCTAATTCAGCTAGGATGTTTAAACATGACCATGTTAATCCAGTCATATTGATATGCTTAGCTGTGGAAGCACCGCAGACACCAATTTATGCTGAAGGAATTATAATCTGTGAACAGTTGTTGATGATCACCACTACAGCATATTAGCTGTTGACATAATGGTGCAAGCACCATGTCATGTGTTGGTTAACAATGCGGGCACAACACTGTAGGTTGCACATGTGCAACTTGGGGTTCCATGATGCAACACTCTCTAGATCCGGTTTGATGTGCTTTGTTTGCGAGTGCAGTATATCACAGGAATGGATCCAATGAGTTGCCAATGGTTCATTCTTGCAAAAAGCACTGGGAGGGTGGGGGAATACATGAAACTGCACGTCTCTGACATTGAGAAATGGACAATCACTGAGCTGATCAGGGCAATTTAAGGAAGAATGATTGCTCAGCTACAATGCAATCGAAAGCAGAGTTACCCCTTTCTAAGTCCATTGAAATCAATGGGCTTAGAAGGGTATAACTTTGCTTAGGATCAGACTGCTAGCCTCAGGGCTGTGTCAGAATTTGTGGTGGATGGCACTTTTGGGGGATGAATTATCAGGTTATGATGCACCTGCCATGTTAAGAAGGCAGCAAGGAAGGAAAAGCAACTTCCTTGACTGGCTATATTGAAGCACAGTGAGCTTTGTTGCTTTGTTTTGTTAGGGCACGGAACAGTGCATCCGAAGCAGCTGCACTGCTGGGATGCATTATTAAAGAGACGATTAAAACAAACAAAAAAAAATTTGGAGTAATTTCCCCGTGGAGAAATTTCCACATTGCTTGGCTTCATAAGAAAATATGGAACGGGGACAGCCTATCTTAAGCAATTTTAATGGGTACAGTGTCGTTTATTAATAAGGGGAAACTGGTACTGTCAATTTGCACAGAAGGCAATGGTTTGGATGCAAGGAAACAGGATTATAGTATATATTCGTCATATCTGAGGCTCAAAATAGGTGTGCAAACTAGATATGATAGCAGCAGGCTCAGGTGCTGAATTTGGTCTGTCTACAGTGGTAGGAATGTGTGTGCAGGGGTTTAAAGTACAGTACAGGTAGACAGGCGGGAAGGGGGAACTGACATTTTTAAAGCTACATTCCACTCTGCAACCAGTTCCTAAAAGCTATTTTCTCCCAGCAGGGACTCCAGTGGTGGGTTTTTTAAGGATGTTCCAGGATGAAAAAGTGTGGGCAAGGCTTCCCAAGCCCCATTTACCCAGGCTGCGTTTGAAAACATCCTTGTTTGCTTCACAGGGAGCTGGGCTGGGTCATGAAGGCATCACATCTAATTGCACCTGTCACGGCTCAGGTGGGGTGTCACCTGATGCTGCCCAGAGCACCCTCCCAAGACCTTCAGACCTCCCTTATTTGGCTGAATAATATGTGTGAGGACCAGGCAGAGTAAACAACAAATAGAAGGTTTATTTTTACAGGAGGTCAGTCAAATATGGGGAAACAATAACGATAAGTGGGTGAAGAGAAAATAAACCAAATGCCCTAATGTGACTAGACTCACAGTCCCTAGTTCACGGTCTCAGTTGGGCCTGAGTCTGCTCACCCTTCCTCTCAGGGTGAGGGTCTTTCCCAGCAGCAGCCTTCCCTCTGGCCCTGCTCTCTTGGAAGAAAGAACCGCACCGCTCTTTTATTATAAGTCTGTGATTGGCTAAAATTGGCGCCAAAACCTCTCAGGGACTTCTGGGAGTTTTGGCCTGGCCTCCTCCCACTACTACTCAGGCTCCCTGGCCTGCTAGGCCTTTACTTGCACAGCCCAGATCATGACAGTACCTTTATTCCAATATCTGATTGCATGGTTTCAGAAATCATAAACTGAATAACAGGGAATTAAGGGATGAGATTAATAAATCTGAATCTTCTTTATTACAAAATCAAGGTACAGGATCAACGTACTCTTTTTATATGCTGGAAAATTCAGTTCCTAATTACATGAAGAAATGGAGGAAGGTATTAGGTTATGATATGGATTTAGGAGTGTGATCTTATCTGTTTTCATATGCTTCCTCCTTCTTAGTGTCCACCCTGTTTAAGGAGAATATCTGTAAGATGTTTCATAAGTGGCATCTTTCACCTGCTTGCATTACGATCATTTAGACTCTAAATTTTACAGAAATA